GCCTCTGCTTCCAAGCTTAAACAGGCTTGGAAAAGGGCTGCTACAACAGCAAGTGATGAATATAAAGGAAAAAACAGCTACACTCCTACTTGGAAACCGCCTTTTGATGATGGTTTGAGCAGCAGGAGCAGGAAGGAGTGAAAGCACCAGTTTGGGGAAGAGGAACATATGCAGAGAGCTGCAGAAAGGACAGTATAAACAGCAGCATCTCCCTGTTGGTCCTCTGACCGATTCTTCGGATGTTTAGAAGCTGACAACTTTTTTTCCTGCTTTCCCCCCCTCAGCCTTCCCATGCTTTTGCTGTGCAGTCACAGAAGTAATGTACATAGACTAATACAAATGGTTCGCGGTTTACAGGAAATTCTCTCATCCCTGTTCTGCTTGTGGCTGATCAGTGCCCTCTTCCTCAGCTCCATTTCCCACACAGACATGCCTTTTTCCATCAGCTTTGCCAACACAGAGCAATGGCTCCAAGACACCCACCTGCAGCACATGCTACAAGCTTTCACAGACTGCAGAGAGGCAACTGAAACAGCACGGGAAAGGCTCAATACCTCAATTCTTTAACACAAGATGTATTTTCCTCCTGTACTCAGATACAGAGTAACTGTTAAAAACCTGTCACATTCCACCACAGCTGCACATCACTGAAATTCTGTAATTCCTGTTTCAGACAGTCAGGAAAATACTTTAGGAGGGGAAAATAGTAGCAACACTGTATGGCATTACTCCACTACTGAGCTAAAGGAACAACTGGCAGCCCTGTTGGTTTTGGTACAGCAGTGGAAAAGAGTGCTTTCATCTTATAGAAATCAGGAACAATTTAGTAAAATAGCATCTGATTTCATAACTATAAAGAGGTTGTGTTTTCATCAGTCCTTCCCAAATCAAGCCAATGCCCAAGGAACAGAGCAATTAAATCATGAGGCTGCTAGCATAGAAAAGAGATAAGATGAAAAACAGCCAGTTCTCAACCTTGATAATTCAGGGGTGACACTAGAGATGCCATAACAGAAAGAAAGAGGAAATAAAATAAAATAATAATAAAAAGAAAGCAGGCCCAGGATGTGCTATGCACATTCTAGGCCTAGCACCTAGCACATGCAGTTACACACAGCCAGGCATCTCTGATGAGCTGGACAAAGCCCAGCTTCCTTCTGCAAACATCTATGACAGGGGCTAGATGAAACAGGATGGGAAGATGATTTTTATTTTCTCTTCCTTTTGAATTGATTAGAAGGAGCAACAAAACCCCGGGTATTTATTTGGAGTTCATCTAAGTGTTTCAGGGGTCCCTGGTCTGTGACATTAGAGACTTTCCATACCAGTACCTCATTACCACATCCAGCACAAGCACCACAGGTCCTTCTAACCTCCTTAGACAGCTCTTCTCAACAGACCTTGGAACATTTTAATGGGAGCCCAGATCAAATGGGAAAACTGTTGATCTTTTTTTCTTATTGTAGACTTCATCTTTTTTTTCTCTGTAGACCAAAACTTACTATGATTGCTTTACACTTGGCCTCTCTAGACTAGTATCACGTGTCCTTTACACTCATTCACCATGGAAGGAAAAAATCTGTCTATTCCACATAACTTTTCCTCTCCTTTGAAGGCTGGGCCAAAGCATTGTATATGCATTAGCACAGCAAAAACTCTGCCTAAGGGCTGCATTTCCTGGTGTGCCATAATGGGTTCAGGACCCCAGCTGTCTGCCTGGGGATTTACAGCACTGATATTTAACAGTAAATTATAAGGTAGGATATTTCATTTGTTCCTCCCCCTGAAGAGGCATATTTATAAATGACACACTTCAGAGTCAGGAAGAAAAAATGGGAAGAGCACATCTTTCTGTTCAGACAACACAGACAACATCTCCTGGTTACTGTAGTCTGGCCTCAGTCACATTTGAGATGCTAGTCTCCATTCTTAACATAACAGTGGATCTTCCTAACATCATATCTCTCACTAGCTACCAATAATACACTGGAGCAAACTGCAACACACTTCCAGCACGTTTATGGAAGCCAATTTCTAGCCTACTTTACTAGTAGCTTTAACAGGCCCTAAACAAAGCCAACTAGCCAATAAAAAACAAAATGCCCTGCAGTTAGCGCCCTTGCTGGAAGTTTGCCACAGGGATGCCATCGACATCATCTCAGCAACAGTGGCTTCGTCAAGCCCAAACCCTGTTTCCATTTAATGAAAGAGTCTAGATCCAGCTGATGCCTGCCACAAAGACACAGGTGCTTCCCACATCCTCCCAATTCAACAAGATCTTCCAGCAGAAAAACCCCTGGGAAGACTGACACAGTGCATCTACATTCACCCTGAGCTATAAGGGATCCTGACCCTAGCTCTAAAGTCTCTGCTCTCTATAGCAAGGTCATACATGACCAGGAGATCCTAACTTAGCTCTAAGAACCCGGCTCCAATCAAGAAATCATTCCACTGCTCCCATAGGCTGTAGTTCGTGCAAATATTTTTCCAGGATCAAGCTGGATTTTCAGTAACAACATTCAGTTTCAAAACCACAAGTCGTCCTGGGCAGCAAAATAAAATGGCTTGCTTTGGTTGGGTTTTTAAGGCTATGCCTTTTCCCCATTCTCTTCCTCTCAGCACCACTTCACTTATTTTATGCTATACATCTTGCCAACTTGAAGATAGCCTAAATGCCTAGCTAGGTGGGAGGTGTCCAGCAAGCTTACTTTTTCAACAGTCATAAATAAGAACTCCAACCCTTGCATAAATCCTTCTAAATCAGTCAAGTTTCATATTAGGGCAATTTGCTGTTAAATATACATCATGGATTTTGGGAAAACACAACCTTTGCTCCATTCAGGGTGTATTTCAGGGGTAAAAATGTGGCCTGGAAATTTTCCCCAGCAGCGTATGAACTCCCAGCAAAACTCAGCACAGAGTCTCAACACTGATGATATGCCAGTCTCCTCTGAGTTTGGTTCCTGCGCTTGATGCTTTTCTGCTGTTTACAGGACACACCATGATCAAGCGCAGCACAGATGAGTCTTGCGCTATTGCAAAATTAGTTTGTATCTAAAAAGAAGGCCACCCACCAGTGAAGGTCCATTCATATATAACTTACCCAGCTGGAGGCTGGAAACTTTAAATGAAGTTTGCTGATCCACACAGGAGTTACCAGTTACTGCTCCAGAGAGTGACTGGCAAGTTGGGCTAATTCAAATGCCTGAAGCATCACACTGCTGATAATAATGAACTCCACTCTGCAGCACAGCCATTCCCTGAGCTTCCTTTGGGCATCCAAAGTGCTCTGCATAAGCACAAGAAAATTGCTCTGAACATAAAAGTTTTTTAATGATAATCTAGTGAGTTTTCAGTAAACTACAGAAAACTGAGTTTTCTAATGACAATCTACTGAACAGCTGCAGCATTGGATTTAGATTGTGCAACCTTTTATGGAAAATCAGTATTCTGGGAGGGAAAGAACAGTAATTAGTATTTTTCTAAATAGTGTCAGATGTGTTTAAAAGCCACAAGATAAACAGGAGGGGGAAACCTGTGGTTTGATTCAAGGCTAGTAAGACTCCAATGTCTGTGTGCTCACAGACTGCAGCCTCCACAAGAATGTAACCTAGTAGGGAGTAAATTTATTGGAGGGGTCCCTGTTAATTTTTTCCTCATCCTGCTTTCCTACTTGAAGCATCCATCTCCCGAGTTAGTATGTTGTGGCAGACTGCATTAGGATTGGGGTGGACAGGGGAATGAGAAATTAGTTTAATTTTCCTCCAAGATGCTCAGAACCTCAGAATCCACAAAAAAAAAAAAACCAAAACACTACCACATTGTACAATGCCATCTCACCTCAGTGCTGGAGGAGAGATCACAAGTCTTATATATCTCATGACAACCGTCTCAGCACCACTAGAAACACAGTCCTGTCATTAAGCTCAAATACCCTGCTTTGCCTCATTCCCTCAGCAAGCTTATTTTCTGCAGTCATGTATGTTTTTCTCTGACAAACTGACCATAATTCTTTTATCACCCTATAAAATAAGTCTGTCCTCTCCTATGACTACTTTTGATTCAAATACTCGGGTCTGCCACACAAGTCCCACTCTACTATATTAGCATCTAGGAGAGTTTCAAAGCTGTACTGCCCATCTGCAAAGTAGTTTCAGCAATCAAGTAAGTGAATCAGAACCCATTCATTGCTTTCCCAGCAGCAAGATGACAGCAGTATATAACACTCAGATGGAAGTCTTTTCACCTAAGTTTTCCAATTTTACATATCTTGACACATACATCAAAGTTTTGAGTTCTAAAACAGCACGGCAAACAACTGCCCTTCTGCTCAGGGTATGGTTTGCATTAACTTTATTCCAGAGGCTTGAGGTTCAGACCTAGAGAAAACTCAACCTATTGTGAAGAAGAAATCACAACCTCCCTTGCAAATCTTACCCATACTGGAAGCCATCACTAAATGGCTCGATCAGCCACAGCTTCAGCAAGGCTGAATAGATGCTGTTCTAAGTTCAGTGGCTTGGCAGTAGTGGTCTCAAAAGAGCAAGATAGTTTACACTAGGATAAGTGCATCTTAACTTCATAGACCACACTATTTAGCCTTAGGCAGCACCTCACTCCCCTCTGCACAGTTCAGTGACTAACAACTGCCTGGCACACAGAAAAACAGCTGTGTTTAAAGAAGTCATAGTGTGCTTGCTTGCTTTATTTTCAAAACACAAGGATTACATTTTTTTTTAACCAACTAATAGGGTGAGTCCAGTGATTACCCAACAGCAGTGCTTGAAGAGAGATTGCAGGGTCACCCTTGAGTGAAGACAAATTCTTCTTTACATGATATACACAGTCATCAGCGACTTCCCCCTGACACTCGAAGTTAGCACATCCTCCTCCTGAGGAGGTTCTCACCTTTTTCATCACAAGTTTATTCCCAATGCAAAACAGACCAGAAAGAGCCCCACCCCCACCCCCTCAAACTGCACTACATCCCCACTGCTCGCACTGAAGAGAGGCACTGCCCCTCCAGTGGTATGTGCCCATGGGCATCTCAAAGCCCATAATCACAGGCCTCGGGGCTGTTCTTCACATAGAGCTGAAGGTAGCCTTTGTATGTCTGTGTATCAGTCATCGTAGCCTTGACAGCAGGGTCCTCCCTCATGGCTCCCATCCAGCGCTGGAGCTTTGGCATGTGACTCAAAGAGCTATGGGAAAAGGAAAGAGCCTGAGTAATGCAAATGGAAAATCAAGGCAGCATCATGCAAGCAAAACAGCGCAAGAGCTTCTATTTTACTGCTTGTTTTGCATTCTCCTTTCCAGCATAATGCTGGTCTGGGAGCAGGCGATGGAAACATGTACCAGATCACAATTGGCAACTGGAAGATAAAGGAGTTCTTACAGAGCTTGGGTGCTCCACAAAGCTGAGCAAAAACACAGGCACCTACCTGTTGTGCAAGGCATAAGCATGTTTTCATCTTCATGCACCCTGCTGCAGAAGAGACTTTGCTCAGCTATCTATTCTAGCCTTTGTGTTGGCAGCCGAAGTATGTACCACACTATCTCTTTCAGGAATCAGTAGTAAGTCCCTAAAAAAAGGGCTGCCTGCAGCTGCTGAGCCATCTTCCCAACCCAGTACCCCTTCTTATCCCTGCATTGGGCACCAAGGCACATGCAGTAAAAATTGTACTACCCTGCAAGCCAGCAGCTCAAAAGCCAGACCCAGTGTCTATAAGAAAAATGCATGATTCAACTAATGCACTAAAGCCACAAATCCCCTCTGACAGGCATTGGAAAGAGACGATGCAGCAAACTGAAAACTTAGCAGTGTAAATTATTATTTTCTTTCTCTTCTGGCAGACTGACCCTAGTACTTTGCATTACTATTTCTAAGTCTCAAGCTTAAGAGTCTAATACACAACTTCTCCAGCTTGTTTTTAGACTTGCGCAGAAAGCATCTTTTCTTAAGGTACTCTGGCTTAGATCCTTAGTCATCCAAATGCTTTCCTGACTCTAGACGTGTGCTCCTATACCACTTGTAATATGTCTCCTTCCAGTTAAGGACCATAGAAGCAAAAAGCAGGCCAGCAGACTTTCAGTAAAACTAATTTTTCAGTGCCACTTAATGCTAAGGATTCCCTGCAACTTTCCTATTCCTCAAGGATACTTTAGGTACCAGGGTGAGACTCCAACTCATTCCCCCTTCATCATCCTCTTCCTTTGAGGAGTCAGACGCTCCAGCCCTGTTTTAATCTCAGATACAAAATTGTTTTCCTCAGACACCATTTTCCTACGTTTTTTTGCTAGTAGCTACAACAAAGTAGGATACAATTTAGCCACCTCACAGCAAAACTATCCTACTTTGTCAGTCCAGGTTTTCTGAAAAGACTCCCTTCCAAATCAAAGGTTTTAGACCAAGAAATGTGAAGGCCCATTTTCTTCTGTGGCATGGGAGTGGAACCTCTGTATTTTTACCACTTCTTCCAGCTCTTTCCAAATGATTTGTTAGAAAACAGACCTGATGAAAACCTTTTTCTGGAGGTTCCCTGAGCAACTCATCTCAGTTTTGAGACCATGTTCCCCTCCAAACTGTAACACAGCACACACTTTCTTCAGAAGGCCCCAACAAACAGTCCATTGCTGTACAGTGTGTGAAAAGAACATTTGCACTGGAACATCTGAGTGCCCACTAGGAAGTGAGCAAGGTGCATGATACTCACTCCTGCAGCTGCACTGCCTCGAGGCGTTCAAACCAGGGCCAGACCATGTAGTCAAACATGGAGATGGAGTCCCCACCAAAAAACACAGTGTTGCATTTAGACAGTGTCTGTGGGAAGGAAGAGATCACAGTCACATTCAGAAGGAAAATTACATGGCACAGCCCTCCAGTAGCAAAAAAATCAAACCACCTCACAGTGGAACACAAACATACCAAAAGTATCAGTCAGGAAATAATGCAGAAACAGCACATTTCTCCTGTGTGTGCAGTATCTGGAAAGCCAGAACCAGACAGAAAAGCAGCTGTAGAACCAAGCTGAATTATTTTATACACTGTGAGTCAGGCTCTTCACCACTACCTGTTCAAAACCAGCCAAAATATAGGTCACTAGCAATTTGTGGCTTGCACACAACCAAAAAGGAGACAGTTCACCATCTCGAGCAGTTAGCAATTTCTTACTTGTAAAAAAAAAAAAAAAAAAAAAGCAACAGCAGTGGAGAATAATCAAACATAATACACACGCATTTCTAGAGCAGTAAAACAATCTAAGTTTAGTACACAGATAAAGCAAAACAGTTTTTGCAGACTCTCTTTTCTGAGACAGCATCTGAGTCCCAAGTGCTGCCAGGAAAGCACTTCTAATATCACTTCTAAAACCAGATTTGAGATATTTGAGACATAGAGGGAACAGGCAGCAAGTATAACATACGCATACATTGGAAACAGGGCCCCAGCACAGGCTCAGCCCCAAATGCAAGGCAGTAAAGAATGCAAGGCTACTTGCAGCAAGTTCTACTCCTACGCTTATGCTTTGGACATGTTTTGAATGTCACGATCATTCAAATTGATGCACTTAAAAAAAAAGAAAAAAAAAAAAAAAAACTTGAGATCCTTCTTTTAGCAGACAAATATCCCAGTTTTGGGGCATCTTGGTATTTTAAAGATGCAACTCAAGAGACATTACAAATCTCTGTCTTTTTGGACATGCACCAAACTACTACCATGGCATTTATTCACTGCACTCCTCTCATGATCTAGTAGATACTTCAAAGTAGTCCCTTCAAGAAACATCTCAAGATGTTTGAATTACCAAGTGTCTGGCAGAATATGATTCAACAGCCGGACAGTTCCAGCAATGGGAACACAGCTCCCTCTGCCGGGTACCAGTGAGCACAGAAGCATTTTGACACATTGCACTTCAGGGATAGTAGAATAAAAACACTGAAGTAGCAGCAAGTTTCTCACCCCATTAATAAAGCAGGATGAAGGTTAATTCTTCCACGAAATACAAATTCATTAAACATTAAGTGGCTTCCCCTGCAAAATAATCTGCCATCTGCACTACTGTATAGTTTGATCAGAGACACTCTCCTGAAAGCAATTCTATTTTGACAACGTGTAGGATTGTTCAAAGAATTAGCAAAGTACTGGAAAGCAATTGAAAGCTTTGCACCAGAAGAGAAACACTGAAGAACATTTCTCTCAAGACAGACAAAGAACAGCTGTGGCTGCTAGGAATTCAGAAGGAATGAGTGACAGTCTGACAGCCATTCTGGTTAATGAAGAATGATTACTTACACTGGAACAGGACTGTAACTCCCTAATGCAGTTTCAAAACCACCTGATACTTTCTGGAGATTAGCTGAAGCTGTGTTACACTGTTGTGGCATAACAAAGCACTGGGCTGGATTTCTGCTGAGGTCAGATTTTACTCTGCCTCCATCCCCCTCCCCCAAAGATAAGCAAAGACGAATTCTTGAAGGAAAAAAATAGTAATTTAATCACTAGGAAATACACACTTGTGTCAGCAGAGCTACAGCACAGACATTTTTCAGCAGCTCAAACTCCTTGGGCCTTGCTGCTAGTACTTGCTGCAAGACTTCCTTTCATCCAAAGCAGAAAGAAGATATTTAAGACAACAGCTAGTCAGCCAGCATCCAGAGGTCCACAGCGAGGTTAGCTACTTAAAAGTTACTCTAACTGTGCTACGCAAATTCTAGGCCAAGGTGGGTAAATTGAAGGATTGTTCATTGCTACAACTTCCAGCCTCAGGAGAAGGACCTTGTTCCAAAACATGGTAGGAAAAAGAATAAGATACAAAAAAACACCACCCTGCTCTTTACCATGAAGTGTTCTTACCTCTTCAAGTTTGCTAAGCTTTTCAACAAACTCTGCTTTCAGTGCCGAGGCATCCTGTCCATCTCTGACTGCAGTGTAGTACTTGACGACTAGAGGTATTATCTAAATAAAGCAAAGGAGAAATATTAATGCAATAAGAATGTTAAAAGCTAAGTTATTTAGAGCTTAAGGTAGTAAGTTGGAGATTAGGTTGTTATTAAAACATTGAAATCCATTAATAAGAGTTAAGCATAGACTGAAACAGACTGAATCAAATCCAAAATCTAATACTTCAGGAAAAGGACAATGAAAAGATGAGCATGCTTTCAGTTTGTACACACTACCAAAAACAGCTATAAAAATGCACACCTTGGTGCACAGCAATATTATTTTTCCAGTTACACACTGCTGAAATACTGATACTTTTTGAACACAGATGTAGTTTTAATGTATTTTGAGGAATACAGATGCAGTGTAGGACACAGACTTCTACAGACCTGTGTGTTTTATAATTTGGTAATTGCCAGAGAAATTGGTGAAAAGTAGAGAAACTTATCCAGTGGCCAAGCCTAATCATGTGATATTCCTAATTCACATACCACCACTTTTCTAAGACCTTGACATTCATACAGTCAGCATTCACTATACATCATTTCCTGCAACATCCTATGAGTCTCCTGCCATTATGTAGGTCAGTAAGAGCTGCTGTAAATAAAATTATTTTATTCCCCTTCTCTTTACCTCCTCCACTGCCTCATATCCAAGATAACTTTCTTCATTCTTCAGCTTCTCTATGCTCTTCAAAACTTGTGCTTGTCGTACCTATGTATTGGGCAGTTATGCCTCATTCCATGTCACCACAGTGCCAACCTCCATGTCTCCCTGAGAGCCAAACTCAGCTTATTTATGTGCCTCTGCTGCCTGCAGGCCCCTGCCATCTGATTGAGCTCCCTCAAACAGGTGCTCTTCATGGTCTGCATTCACACAGCCCTTCCAACAGACAGGGTTAGGGCAGAGGACAGAAATTGTCACTGACTGGGTCTCTAGCATTCAGCTAGTTTGGTGACTAACCTTCCCACTACTGCTGGATGCTCAAAATCCTCCCTCAGTCTTTAGCTGCATCCCTGCCTTCATGTAAGTGCTGGCAGCAATTCACAAGCCCAGCAACGTGTGTGAGCTAACAGCAAGATATTCCATATGCCTCAGGTTATTTAAATGCTTTTCCTGGATAGAAGACCTCTCAAGACATGAAAGAGGCACTGGTAATGCAGATGCAGTTTTGACATTTTAGCAAAGCAAGAAACAACATCTCATCCTAAACACATAGCAGTACCTTTGAGAAGTGTTCCAGGAGCATCTTCTGCAAGGCTCGCTCATATGGGTCCAAAGGTAGCAGCTTCTTCCCTGGAAAGGCTTCATCCAAATACTCACAAGTGATTGGAGACTCATAGATTAGCTGGCCCTTGCTGGTCTCCAGAACAGGAACCAGCCCAAAGGGGTTCTTCTCAAAGAACCAGTCAGGTTTGTTCTTGAGATTGATGTTGATTACTTCATGGCTGACAAATGAAAGAAATAAGACATAAAAGGATTAGTTCTGCTACATCACTACTCAACGGCATGAAGATGTGATCATTACACCTCAGCAGCTACTGTACTTGAGAGGCTGAATTCTCACACTCGTGCTCTCCTTGCCTTCCCTGAAGTCCTTCACCTTGCAGAACTGGCCATGAGAGACTCAAAACACTACACTTGCAGGGAGTACATCCCTTTACTGGAGAAAATCCATACTGGCTTACAGAAGTTACAAGACACACAAACAGTCTTTGTGTGCAAAAGAGGAACCCTTCCAGTCATGTTAAAACAAAGGTCAACCTCTGAATACAGCACATGCCTATCACATGCTGCATGTTCTAGGCAAAAGGCAATTGACAGAGCAAGCTACACTCAACTGCAGTAACACCTTAATCCAGCCATAAAAGAGCATATCAACAGCATACTGCCCATTTATCTTCCTACTCTATAGCCTCTCATAAAAAAGTTTTGCAGATCAAAGGCAAAATAGGCACCATAAAAAAAGAGAAATTAGAAGTTTGTCTATAACAGGCCAGTATACAACACATGCCTGCTAAACCTTCTAAACTCAACTTTTAAAAGAACTGGAAGATTACCAGAAGGTAGCTGCCGTATTTAGAGAGGGGGAAAAAAAAAAATCACTACACTAAAGCAAACCTTAATCAAAAGAGACAAAAGACAGTTCTAATTTGACCTGAAGTTTTCAATGTACTTACTCTTTCAAAGAGTAATAACTCTAATTTTGTTATCAGGTGATAAGCACTCACTGTGCCAGCAAGGACTGCAAGGCCAGTGCTGCTCAACAAGCCTTTAGCAAGCCTGGGATGTAGTGGGAATCAGGCACAGGTAAAAGAACTTGTTACTTTGAAACTGCAAAGTTAGTCATGTCATTTAACAGTTTTTAAATTAAGACCATTCATATTGAAAAAGAAGCACAAATACTAACTTTCAGAAACTCATTACAAAGCCGGAATGAGAACACATGGAGGATTGCAGTATTTTTCCCCTTAAGAAAGGCCTGCTTGCTCCCTAGGGGAAGCTTGCAGCCTGCACTTTGCTAAGCAGTAATTCAAAGAAACACTGAGCATTTCCCAGGATTTTCACTGCATCTTAGAGCAAAACAAAACAAGCCCCAAAACAACCCCTAGGCCACATAGGCTTTCAGGGGCTGTTATACTCCTTCAGAAATGGTCCAACAGTGGTTATTGCAATCAGACAGGATTATGACAGAAAGGAAGCCGGAGAGGAGGGAAGTCACCACAGCTTTTTCCCTAATGACTGACTCTGAGCCTTTACATAATCGATTTTCATCCCACATTCCACTACTTCCTGCTTCCACAACCCCACCTTCCCCTCAGGTAAGCCAAGCTTTAGAGCACCCCCTGAAGCTGCTTTGCACTGGGGCTACGTAGGGCCCCCCAAACCCAAGGAAGGCCCGGCCCCGCCGCGCGCTCTCGTCCCGAGGCGGCCTCACCTGATGCCCTTGGCGTGCAGGACGAGGCGGGTTCTCTGCGCGAAGGGGCAGAAGCGCATGCTGTACAGGCGG